CTCCCACCAGCCAAGGACCGCCTACCAACAGAATATCTTTCTGTTGTCAACGAGGTGATTGGTATTCGTACCGTGGCTTCCTTCATGAAGTCCCTTGGAATGAAGGTTTTAACAATCCTGTTCAAAAATGTCCCTCTGAGGTCCCCTACTGAGTGAACTGCAGTACCGAAACACCAAATGAAACCACCTTTGTCTATTTGGTTCTCAATACATTCTCGGCCGCAATAGCCCATAGGAATCACTTCTTCCGGCTGTACCAAACCGACAGGTCTGAATGCCACAGACGTCTATTTTCAAGGGCAGCGTCTCGTCTCAGAAAACAGCTACCCTACGGCTTGGATAAATCACATTAAATTTGGCCTTGTGCTACATCTGAATGCGTGGGGAGATTGGTAGATATCCTACAGTTGGAGATTCGTCTCCAGCTGTGCTGGTCAAACTCTCTGCATCTGAAAGTGAGGGTCCACAGACAAGGCTATATCAAAGGACAGAATTTCGTTTCGGGAAACAGCTACCCGACTACGGGGAATTTTTGGCCGAGCCTACGGGCTCGGGTACCCCACATTAAATTCGTCCTTGTGCCACATCTGACCGCGGTTGGTAGATATCCAGAAGTTGGAGATTAATTGTGGAATTCACTTGACTCACTTCTAGCAGTTGACTACTACGCGCCGCTGGCGAATCTTATACGTGTATTATCGTTCATTACCAACCTTCGTGTGATTATTCTATTCAGTAATCTTCTCTAGGTTACGACATATTTCTAAAGAAGTGAGTTTTTATTTATTATTTTAACGTTATTTTTAGTGGATGTCAATATTTGAGTAGATACTCCTTTTATTATTTACACCTTATATTTATTTTCGTCTACCGACTTGAATATTCGAGACATCTTTCTGTTATCAACGCGCAGACTGGGACTCGTTCCATGGTTTACTTTGCGACAACTCTTGGAATGTGGTTTTTAATCACCCCGATTAAAAATGAGCGTCTGGGGTCTCCTCCTGGGTACAAGCTGGCATCGCGGCTTTCATCCCAGCAAGAAAATACGACATTAAATCGGTCTCATCCCCTTGGTTCTAAGCTTCTATAGCCCATAGGAATAACTTGCATTAAATCAATAGCTGCATCTACTGCAAGGAAAGTTGTGTGGGGCAATAAAATTTGGCGCGTCAGAGTCCATCTTGCACATTTAGAAATCTACAATTCACCCATGCATTGAATACTGCTGTCATATCTGAGCTGAGACTCCTGCTATTCATCTCGATGTGCTTGACAACATCCAAAGAAGGATCTGTAATGTAATGGATCCTGATCTGGCATCTCGACTACAGGTCACTTTCTCAGTGACGTAGCGTGGATTCCCTCTGCCTTTTCTACAAATATATATATATATATATATATATTATGTGCAACTGCTCTGACGAGGTGTTTTCTGGTGACACGACTAAATGAATTTAAGTATGTTACTAGATTGTCAACTAGGGTCCACCCGTTTAATGTTGAAAAAGCTAAATGCAACCGCCACTCCTACTCCAAAGGTGTCCCTTCTCGCACTTCACGCCTGTGGAACTCACTTCCTTTTAAATGCTTTCTTGATAACAACCATCTTAAAAAGTTGGATACAACATCAATCGCCATCTTCTATCTTGTTGAAGACCGTTCATCGTATCTCCTTTCCCCCAATCCTCCCTATACACTTATGTCTCTTTCCTTTTCCTGTCACATCCTGCTAACTAGTATCATTCCTGCGTGGTATGAGATGAAATGATTATATATATATATATATTTATATATATATATATATATATATATATATATATATATATTAGGTGAAACATAGGTAGGTTGCTCCTGGCCCTTTAGGATTTATTATATATATATATATATATATATATATATATATATATATATATATATATATATATATATAGTTAAACCTAGACAGCCAGACAAACCTACCAAGGTTTCACCTAAGCGGATCGTCAGGGAATGCCAGCAGTAAGTTTGGTAGGTGTGTCTGGCTCTCTTGGATTAGCTAGATCTGCTCTACTCATTGTATTGAGCACTTTATTTAGTTATTTTGGGTATTCGTATCGGGGTTTTTTTTCTTTGGGCCTTGGACTCGTATTCTGTACGATTATTTTTGATTAACGTACATGTTCTTGGCTCTTTCTTTTTTATACCTTTTTTCCCCTTTGGTATTGGTTTGGTATTATTTGCAAACCAACACACCGAAGGTTTTCCGAACGAGTATATTTTCTTATGCTTATAAGATTTCTATCAATAATATATATATATATATATATATATATATATATATATATATATAAATCCTAAAGATTGTATATATATATTTATGTGTGTGTGTGTGTCCTAAAGAGCCAGGCACAAACCTATCTAGGTTTCATATATATATATATATATATATATATATATATATATATGAATTCAAGAAAGAAATTCAGATTACCAACACACAAACAGAAAATGTCCCATA